TGGTTTCTTTAACAGTACATTTATTAGTCCTGGGAAATACTGCAGTTCTACCCATCTGCGACATACATGTAGACTTACTCCTACAATCTGCAGTCCACAACTGATGGTTGAAGTGATACCCTTATCCCAAAACCCACAGGCAGTTTTAACCCCCTTAAGATATGCATGCTTTAACTACTCATTATAAACTGAGTGGTTTAAATGAGATCAGTTTATGACTCCCACAGTTTAAACTTTATTAGCCATGACAGTTAAGTACTTCAATCAATGTGAAGTTAGTTTTCTACATGAAATATCAGTGCCTGAGGAGTTTTCTCCCATCCAGTGGCACATCAACACATATGATGTAAGATAAAAATGCATCAAAACCAAGGCAAAGTTTTGAAGACAGCACATCTTGTGAGAGATGCAGTGCTGTCTGGAGGTTTGCAAGAAGCCAGTACATGCAAGAACATTCAGTATCCTGGGGATTTATCACTAATATCATCTCAGTACATCAACACTTCCTTCCTTTCATCCAGAAGGCCTGGACAACTACATGTAAGAATACAGTAAAACTTCTTATGGTTTCTTAGTGAAGAATTTGTAACAACTTAGTCCTCTGCCTTTCAGAGGACTAAATCTCACTTTTATGTAACTTGCTTTTTTTGCCCAGCATCAACAGAAATCACCCCACATAAAGGGCAACCTCAGAGTATTTTTCTGCTGCAGAATCTACTGATGCACATCTACTGACTGCTGTTGGCAGACAGCAACTGACCTCCACCTCATTTTTTTATATCCAAGAAATTAGTAGTGCTACTTTCAAAGGCACCTCTGAATGGTAACACAGCCCACTGAAACAAATAGTGGGTAACACCACGCTCAAAAGCCAAGCTGTAACAGTTGTGTTTGTTATCCTTCCATGTTCCACTGCATATCCACTGCTGCACTGCCTTCTTCTGGTCACTGTAACTGAAAAAGGGAAATGCTAGTTAGTACACTCTCAGAAACCAGGAGACAAGAGAGTTGAATTATCTTCCAGTTGACTGTTTTTATACACACAATGCATGCATTTGGATTGTATTCAACCTGCGCCCAGAGTACAACAAAACATCAGTAGCTAACTACAATAAACTGATCTGAGCACTGCACACTTCTTGTACAACACTGTCTCCAGAGCAAGTACTAGTTTCTGTGTGTATTCCCTCTCCAAACTTTGCCCACCACAAAATCCCACTAGCTTTTGACCATCTCAGCGTGATACTCAGGAGTCCTGGAATGAGCTGACATGCACAATGGTATTAATCTGGAAGTAACCATGTGCTATAAGCTTGTAATCAAGAGAAGGTGAACAGCTTGCTCAATCTGTAGAATTACATCCTTATGTTTTACAAAGTTAGTATTACCTTTCTAGCATGAGTTAAGTTCTATTCATTGCTCCTTCAACTAACACTGGTACCGTGCCCGTTAAGAACTGCAGAGCAGGCTGGAAAAGTGTGCTTTGGTGTTCATTTCTTTATTAATTACAACATGGCCACTACTCCCAGGAAGTGACAAACCAGATCCAGTGAACTGAGGGAAAAAAGCTCCCTTTTCCAAAGAAGAGCAGCTTTTTCACTTGCCAACAGTAACCAGCTTTCACGTGCCGGGGTAACACAGAGAACTGAAGCACCCACATACAAATAAAAGCTGAAAACCTTCTCACACCACCTACATGAGTTGGCAAAAGCTTTCAGAGTCACACAGGATGCATTCCATCTCTTCCTTAACGGATTCCTGACCTGGATCAGCCTCAAACCATACATTTAATAATTGACTCCTGCTATTTATTTTTTGCAGGCTGGTGTGGGAACAGGGAAGAGCTTCCTTTAACAGAAGTACTCCTGATGCTTCTGTATTTGATCTGAAATACAATCCAGCAACCTGAAGTAAGAGCTTTATCAAGGTAAGAGCAGCAATTTACCAGGAGTATGTCTGAGTATGTGGGTGATGTTTCGTAAAAAGGCACTGCACAGCTATTGAGTTGCTGAGACTCTAAAAAGAGTAAGCTGAAAGTCAACTGAGCCTGCACCAGAAGAATCCTTCACACAAGATAGTAACAGCCCGAAATCAGTGACCACATGTCAGATGCAGAACACTGTATCAACTCCAGCTTTGTCTTTTCACCACTTCTAAGCTGGTTCTCAAAAGCAGTACTTGAACCCAACAGCAAAGGATGTTCTTACAGAGTACTTTGCAAACTATAAACGACATTCAAAGTGCACACTTCCTACATAAATACTTCCTTTGGAAAAGGGATTTGTCCTTATCCATCACTTCAGACCAAATTTTAACAGATTTGTTCCCCATTTAAAGTTATTTCCCTTTTTAATAAGCATTATTTAGCAGAAAAGCTTTACAAAAAGCTCTAACAGCATTACAGCCACTACGACTTCCTTTTTTTCCTGGCGAGTTATCGAAGAAACAGAGTCATTCTTCTACATAAATCTGAAGATAGCTGCTCCTGCATCTACTTGCAAAGTACTTTGACTAGGGTAGGCTTCCAAAGCATGAAACAGCTGAGCTGCAAAGCTTTAAACCATTCCGGACACCTGGAATTCTGCAATTTAGTCCAAGGAGCTCTGCACAGATTAATTCCCAGTCAAAGATTACACTCAGTATAATCATTAAATTGCATGTTTGACAAGACTGATTAAATGCTTGTACTCACATTTATTACATCAATTTGTATTTTTGTGGTCTGGTCTTATAAAGATCCCTAGGACTTAACTACTCTCTGCAGCATGATTTAAAGCACGTTCGTAGTCGTAGTTGATGTTCAACTGCACCCAAACTGGCATGAATTTCTGCAGCCTCTGTCAGTCCTAACTTGACTTAAAAAGCCTACTTAAACCTCCTCCTCCAAAATTTAAACAGGAGATGGAAAGTATTATTATTCCATGATTCTTCATGGAATGGTTTGGGTTGGAAAGGACCTTAAGACCATCCAGTTCCAACCCCCTGCCATGGGCATGGACACCTCAGACTAGATCACGTCACCCAAGGCTCTGTCCAACCTGGCCTTGAACACTGCCAGGGACGGAACATTCACCACTTCTCTGGGCACCCTGTGCCAGTGCCTCAGCATCCTCACAGGGAAGAGCTTCTGCCTTGTATCTAACCCAAACTTCCCCTGTTTCAGTTTGAACACATCACCCCTTGTCCTATCACACCAATCCCTGATGAAAAGTCCCTCTCCAGCATCCTTGTAGCCCCCTTCAAACACTGGACACTGCTTCAGATAATGCAGCTTCTCTTCTCCAGGCTGAACAGCCCCGACTTTCCCAGCCTATCTTCATATATATGTCCATTTCTATCTATAAGCACAGAACCACCAGAAATCCTCCCTCCGGCTATTACCCCAGTGTAATCTTTACCTTATGTACTGGTACAGGCATCATTGTGTCTGTCATCAGCACAGATGAACCAGCGTTACGTCAGCGGTTATCTTCTAGAAGTTATCACCCTGCAATCAAGAGAGGATACAACTAAGAGAAGTACATTTTACAGCATGAGTCAACTTATAGCACTCTCCCCTCCCTCCCCCCATTTCAAACAGTCACAATCTTGGGTTTGCAGATTATTCTGTTGCAAGTTTTACTACGTCTCTTCTAAGTGGTGGAGGATTCACTGGCTTGGAATGGACTGGAATGGCTTAGTGACAGGTTGCATGGCTTATGGATTCTCATTCCTTGTCAGTGGTGCACTGCCATGTTAAATCCATAAGTTGAACGACAAAAATTTACTGAGGACTAAAGAGTAGTACAAAACTTTTGGGTGTGTGGTTTTAGTTGGAGGTCTTCATGTCTACTATATTCAAGAGCATCTTTTGAACTTCATGGCTTTACCTGAGACAGAACAACTCGCCCCAGGTTCTGCCACATGTAACAGTTATCCCTGTAACGCAGTGTCAAACTAAACAGATTCAGGCATCCAACTAAAGTTTGCAATGGCTCCCTTCAAACTCTGCTATTAGGCAAGCTAAACCAATTCCTGATTTCATAAAGCTTTAGTTTTGTTACAATATAGTATATGCAGCCTCTTTAAGCATCTTCACTGAAAGACACTGGGCACAAAATACCCCCTCCCAACCCTACCTGACAATACTCATGTCTACAGCGAGCTGCATTATAGCTTTAGTTTCAAAACTGGTGCCATTAAATGCTTTTATCCAAGAAGAAATGTTGAATTTGGAGAACTTCTAATATATTGAAGTATTTCTTTTCCTTTTTAAAATCTAGACAGCATTTCCATTGCCATGACGTGCAGCTTGGCTTTTACTGTACTAGAGGAAGATAACTTGGTTCAATTTTGACTTAGACTGGAAAAACTAGTTTGCTTTGCTTACCATCTTTGCTGTTTCACAGGCATTTGATGCTTTAAATCAGCTGTGGAATGCTGAAAGATTCACTTGTTTTTAGGAAGCCATAAGCCTTTGAGAAGTTGGAGAGAAAGACTTCTTTGCTTATCTTATTTTCTCCTTTGGAATCAAAGATGTTCCTTTAAAAGTGAAACACTACAGAGTTGCAAAAATTGGAAACAGTATGAGCAAGCATCGTTTTGCAGCTTCTTTGATGGAATTGGTCAAGGGGTTTTTATTGTTACAGTATTCTGGAGCTGACTTACATGTACATGATTCATTTGGAAGGGAGATCCTTTCAAACTCCCCACAAAACAGTAGGAATGCAGAAAACAGCATTATCCACTTGCTTTTTCGTGTTAAGTGAATGATATCCTCTATTTTTTCTTTACACAAGGATCTGAAGATATTTTGTACTGAGAACACTGTGACTTCAAATTCTAGGCACAACTGAACTTTGTGTGGAACAGCCCCACCACCCTCCAACACAAGCAATACTTTGTTTAAGAATGAGATGCTGAACATGTAGAACAATCCATCTCCATGTTAGATGGTTGGATGTTGTGTGGAAGATCTTAAGAACTGCTTGTTCCATTCATGAGGAAAATCAGATGGGAAGTGTGGCATTTCAGGGAAACTTTACTTTGAAAATTACAACACTAGTACACAGCTCAAGTTTCATACATTTAACATCTGCTTTTTGAAAGAAATGTTAACAATTCTGAAATGAAATTAAACACGGGTTTAACTTTTCCTCACAAAAGCATAAGTCATGGAGGGGAAAACTTAACAGGCAACAATAAAAAAAAGGTAAAAACAATTTTCCTTTTAGTAGTCCTCTGGTAGTAAAGATAGAACAACTTCCACTTTTCTTTTTTGTTTGAGAAGTTAATTTGTCTTGGTCCAAAAGTTTAAAGAGTGTTTTTAGTATCTGCTTCTGCCTCCACCTCTATCGGATCTGCTTCCACCACGGCCACCACCTCTGGGTGCTCCGCGGCTTGAACTACTGTAAGAATCACGAGGAGGTGGATAGCCCCTTTCCATGGATGGGGGAAGACCCCTGTCTTGTCTTCCAACACGATCACGGCCACTTGAGTAGACATCACTTCTGCTGCTTGAGTAACTTTCTCGGCTTCCATATCCATCTCGTGTGCTGCCGTAATCGTCATAGCGACTGCTTCCACCATAAGATGGCGGGGGCCCTCGTGCAGGTGGAGCACTACGTGAGTTACCTGCAGGGTCAATGGTCAGGTAATATGGCAACACCATAAGTTATATAGAACAATTTCAATCTGAATTTACAGAATTGCTGTATTTAAATGGTTACTGCTACTCTTTTGTACGTATCGAGATGGTCTTAATATAATCTGCCACATTAATGGTATTTAAAGTGGGGATTGCACATCAGGCAGTGAGTGGATTTGAAGACGGTGTTTATTCAGGCAGGCTCTTTACTGGGTATTCCAGAACAGCTTGTTATTTTAGAGAAGAAACTCAGCCATATTTTCCAGAGATAGTTGCAATTCTGAACTGTAGATTTTGCTTCTTTAGTATATAGCTTATTTAATATGATGGTAACCAACAACTGCACTTGCACTGTAGGGGGAAAAAAAAGCGTGCCACTTCCCCGTGAAACACAAGCAACCTAGTAAAAATCATGTTTTATGACACCTGTACAGCTTAATACATGATCCTCAAAATAGATTCTTACCATAACTATCATATGAATCTCTGTAGGAGCCTCCACTTGGATGATCCGAGTAGTCTCTGTCACGTCCACCACCGTATCCATCACGATCACTATAGGAGGAAAGACTACTAAGACTTAGTACAAGTCAGTGAGATCATGGCAAGAATAAAATGACAAAGAAAAATCCAACAGTAGGTACCTATATCCCCTAGAGGGGTATTCATCACGGGAACTGGAGTGACCATAATCACGGTAGGCATAGTCTCGAGGAGGTGGTGCATAGTCCCGCGTATCCCTGGAGCTGGGATAATCTCTGCTTGAGTAACTACAAAGAACAAGAATTGAGATGTCAGCCATGTGTCACACCTCAAAAGATCAAAATCCTTCTCTGAACAAAAAAGCCGAATGAAACGAGGAAAGGGAATTTACCCGTCTTTAGTGCTGTAGCCATCATCTCTTGGAGACATGTAGACATCTCTTCGTGATGGCATCGGTTCTCTGCGTGGAGGACCACCATAACTGTCTCTTCCACGTGACACAGGAGCTTAAGAGAAAGAGTCCAAGTTCTTAATTATCATTTAGCCACATAAAAGACTCCTCAAGGCAAGTATTAGCAGATAATATCCCTGTTTATAGGGATTTAGAAGTATCTCTGCAGCCTATATTTATAATGCTTTACGCTTCTGCTTATACAGTTCTAAAGTGGCACTAGAAGGAACGTATCATATCACACCAAATTGTTCTAAACACCTACAAAATGATACTAGCATGAAAAGAACTGATAGATTAGGAAAGAATACATTATTCCACAACACATTTACATTAGAATCAATGACTTGCTACAGTTCCTGAACTAGAACTAAGCTGCTACAGCTGATTAGACAACAAAGTAATCCAGGAGATGTTTACCTCTTCCTCCCATGCTACTGCTACGCACTGGTCCTGAAGGTGCAGATCTTTTAGGTGGAGGGCCTCCACTTCGTGGAGGTGGACCTCTCTTCATGGGAAGTGGTCCTCGAGAAGATCCTAGAAGGGTAAGCCATGAACCAACTTGTTATGTCTGTGATAGCCACCCATATGCCCCTAAAACCTGAACTACAACAACCTAGACACTTATTACCGCTACGCGATCAACAGTAAGCCTCTAAATCTAGACTTCAAAGCCGCCTCTTGGATCTTGGCCACTACCAGATGCTACTGGCAGCACTGAGAGCCCACCAAGCTAACTGTCCACAGCTCAAACTGCTATCAAGAACTGTCTTTTAGAACTTATGCAAAAGCCACAGAGTGTGACCCAAGTGAAAAAGACAAGCTGTGACTGATTACAGGTACCAGCTAAGTGTTCAACAAGTTACTATTCTCAGAAGACAAGAGCCACCTGGGAAGACGTACTAGAGAAGATCCTACAGAGAGGGAACAGAGACACTACAGAGTCTGTAGAACCTACTACACAGACTCTCCAAGACAGGAGTTTTCACTATTTCCAGGGTTTTTTCCTGCATTACAGCTTTTACTGTTATACCTCAGGTGCTGCTTGCTTTTAAGTGACAGTTCTGTTTTGATACTGAAAAGGGTCTCAATAAATAGCTGCATTTTTGATACTGAAAAGGCTCTGAATAGACAGCTATATCTTAAGTTAAAGAATATCCAGTATCAAGTAATACACTATCCTTCCACTTCAGAAAGCTTCAACTCAACACGCTTTTATAACAACAAAAAAGCCTTAGCTTCCTTAGCTCCCACTATGACCTGGAAGGATCAGTTCTAGAACTTGGTACGTTTAGACCTCTTGCTAGTAAGAATGAAAGACAGTTCCCTTTCCCTGGTGGAAGAGAATCAGTTTTTCAACTTGAATACCAGAAAGCTTCCTTTCTCACGTGCAGGGCAGGAGTTTTGCTTTTCTTTCATAGCCAAAAAGTCAAGTGGAGTGTTAGTTGTAGAAGGGAATCTTCAGATTTGAAAGCCTTTTCTTAAGGTGTACTTGCCTAATCAAAAATGTGACTAAACTGCTGAGATCACATTTCATCAGTTTATTAAAGAACAAGGAGTGCACTATTCGGCTGTTTGGCTTTTTTTTTTTTTCCAGTAGGATTATTGTCATCTTCCAATGGGATTGTCTTGTATGTTGTCCAAGTATATAATGAGAGAGGTCAATACATACCCAAGTGACTCCCTCTTGAAGGTGGTCCTCTCGCGCCACTGCCGCCTCTTCCACCTCTAAGGCCCCTGGGAGGACCTCTGCTTCGTGGAGGGGGTGGCGGCCCACGCCTCCCACCACTTTCAAAGGATGGCTTGGTTGCTTGTTCCACTTTAATTGCTTTCCCATCTAATGACTAAAGAAGAAGCTGCTTTACTTACTGCTCAGTCATGTTTGTATGTCTTAAATTAAGCCCCTCTTGCTTCACTATTATAGGGCTTCCATTTTATAAAGTTAGAGCAACTCTAGAACTGATTTGAGTCTTCAGTATTAGTCCCCATGAACTCAGCAGCATGTTGGGCCTAATTTTTACAGTACTTCATTCTTGTGGTATTGATGGAAAAAAAAACACTAATACAGAGCAGCATCAGAAAGGACTTTCAGTGAAAATACAAGTGTCCAATGATTACGGCAGCCCCATGTCACTTATTCTGCAAATGAAACACCATTTATGATCTCCAATTTACTTTCAATTGCCATGGGCTTTTGTACCCAACTAGGACTGCACCAGTAGTGACAGGATTAAGCTGAAGGTATCTTAGCTTCAGTTGGGGTTTCTGGCAATGGGGAGGCCGTTTAGTACATTGTCTTGATGTCCTGATAAAACGGTGATCATTGAAGTACTTAGAAGTAATTTCAGCATCTACAATGCAGAGCAAGTATGAGAATTCACCCCACTCCTCTACTGTTTCAGGCTGGGTTTTTAAAAGAGGTGACCGTTACATTTAGGCTATTGCTTTTCCAGAGTGGAGGTGCTTTGTGGTGGGTTTTTAGAGTTTGAAAGTGGAAGGTTTTTTCTGGAATACAGACCTGCAATAACAGGAACTCTGCAGCCAACTATTGTATCTCAAACGTGAGCAAGTGGTAAGACACAATGAGTAACAACTTCATTCATCAAATCTCTGTATAATGTTTGCACACCAAACACTTGGTAATTACAGCAGAGCCACTATCACGAGCTCTGCTGCAGTTCAGTTACTGCACATCTATCCTGACAAACATAGTTTGTCTTTTTTCGCAGTTGAAAATTTACCTCTGCTATGACAACTACTGAATTAGGCAGGCAGGAAGTGTTGCTTATGGCACTTCTTAGCTGCAATAAATGAACAAAAATATGACTGCTCGTGATGTCTTACTCTGAACTGCTGACAGGGTTTTACTGAGGTACTGAGTCTTTTTTGTACTCCACTGAAATCTAGGTCTCTCTGAACTCATCCACTTCAGTAGCTCATATTCCTCCACCATATGTAGTTGTAGCTACTGGTTGGAAAACCTGTGTGTATACCCACAGGTCCAACTGTATCCATCATGAGAAAAAGGAATTGAGATATACTAGCAATACCAATTTTGGCTTGGCTTTAACTTCATAAAATTATTTTGCTTATGGAAGGTTCTTCCAAAAGCCATTTTTGCATGACAAGCTCAACCATTCCAGGAGCAAGCATTAGTACCTCTAATCACTGGAACTTATCAGTTTGTATCATTATTTTGCCATCATCATTCATCTATCTCAGTCATCCTTCTCAAAACAGGAACAGTGGGCTTGAAGCCTTAAGCTTTGCCATCATGACCACTGCTATCCTGAGTTTCTTGACAGCTTGTTTGAAGCTTGGAAACCAAACACCATCCCCTTCTACTAACATGGGTTCTGAGAACCTGGATGCTCACTCCAAGTTCTTTAGGATTTCTTTTAGGTAGGAGGTACAGTTTCCCTTATTTCTCCTCCTGTTTCCTTCTGCCTTGTACTCATGCATCTTACCAAGGCAAAAGAGGGTTTTCTTTTGAAACTGCTTCATGCAAGCAGTCTTAAAAGGCTATGCCTAAGGTCCAAATAGACCTTTCATTAGGTCTAAGAGATTATTTTTCCTTTTATTTTGTTAACCAGAAGATATTAGTCAAAGTTTGTCCCGTTTTAAAGCAGATGGGACAACTTCATTTTATAGGTTCTTAGCTCAAAGAAGAAAGGTCTCATCCCACTGACAGATCAAACTCACACAAGCCATCTCAAAGAATTTTTCAATGAGCCCAAAGCACCAGTTGTCCACAGGAACACTCATTAATTGGTGTTTAGAACCTTGAATCAGAGTGTTGCAGTAGCATTTTAACTATGATATGGGCACCATAAAATGGAGTCACCCTGGTGCTAAAAAGCAGCTCAGTAATTGAAGGTAAAGAGTCATTTAAGGATAATAATAGATTGGCAATCATAAGAACTCTATGTGGAATGAACAATCTACACAGCTTTGTAAGATGAGCTAGGGAACCTTAACCAAACAGCATTAGAGAACTGTCCTGCAAACTGTTCCGTGTTCCAATGGGAAAGATGAATGAAATCTGGAGTTTCAGGAGTGGGTCAGAAATCAAGTATTCCAAAGAGACTGCTAGAGACACTTGCATGAAACACAGGGGGTTCCTCTTGAATGGATCATGGTACTGTTGATGCTGCAGCAGCTCCACCATTTCTGCACACTCCTTGATGGCAGATCAAATGGGCTTCCTTCCACCAAACATATTCAAGAAGTGAAGATCATTTCTTATCAGGCTGAGCTTCTACACATTGTATTGCTTCTTCACCAGAAGGCATGGAAGCACTTTCTTGTTGGTTACAGGAAGGCCACCTTCTGCAGCGCTGAGTACAGTTCAGACTGTTGTTTGGATTGTAGGATTTGCTTCCAACCTCGTAACACAGTCCAGCTGGCTTGGCAGGTCTACACTGGAATTGCATCTTTGGCTTGTCCTGGATGTTTTCTCTAAGGTCATAGCCTCTCCTTCATTATCCATTTTGCCTTCAGGACTTAAAAATCAAACAATCAGAACAGCCTACAGCACAAACTGACCATTAGAGACTTGCATTGCTTGCACTTGTGTCCAGGTATGTGCCTTTCATGACCTCAGGACTACCATGAAATGAGGTGGTTCTTAAGAAAGGCTCCTAATTTGCTATGGTAAAGTTCTCCTGGTGTTTCCTCTGGGCTGCTCAGACGTGCTAACATTGATCCAATCCTACACAGAAAGTAACTGCAGTGAAAAATCTCCACCCCCACTCCAAAATTGTTATCTTCTGACCTCCTTCTGCAGGACTGAAGTTAATCTTCAAATAAGCTTAGCCCAGTCTATGCTTGTACCATTTTAGACTGAAACATAATTAATCCCCTTCCTTCCCCCCCCAGAACACTGGATGTTTTGCATGAATACATGCAAAGCAGGAAAAAAAAAATCAAAAGCAAATTCATTCTTGCAGAATCTAAGTCAGCCTCTTCTACTAGCTCCAACTTGGAATTCCTTTGGAATGACAAAGTGAGCAACACAAGTGATGCAGAACTCCTTCCCCGTGGCTGAGCAGGTCAACTAACTCCTTACAGACTGCTTGAACTATTGTCTGCACAATGCTTCTGCTTCTTCTGCATGAGCACTCCAATCCAGCATTTGGAAATGAACAGGAAAACTCCCCAAACTGACACTTATTACAGTGCTCTCTTCCTACAGCATGTCTCCATCAGCACTCCTCCTCACATCTAGGATGCAGTCTTTTTGAGGTACAAGCAGAACTTAGGGTCCAGAAGGCTTTCTGAAGACGAAGACAAGAGACTACTTCACGAACATCTTCCATATCCTTCATATCCAACCAAGCTAGCTATGTTGAAGACATCATTCTAGGCCAAATCCCAAGTGAGGATTTTCTTTTCATACACTATTTGCTGTTCAGATTTCAAAGCTGAGGCAGGTACTTCTACACTTGTAGTGTTGAAGACAGAAACTTTTGAGAATGATGCTCCACAAGGCAGTACTCTTTCACATTTCTTGACAATGATGCAGATGGGTGCATTCCAGAACATGTAGACATTACCTCAGCCACGTTCAATCTGATTTAGCTATTTCCCTAAGTATTACTTTCCTAAACGTTTCCAATGTGACCAAACACATGCCACAACATTCAAGATTCAGAACAGTTGGTGATTATTTTCAGAGGGATTTTCATGTGAAAGTTGCACTCCACAAACACTTTGAGATCAGTGACTGAACTCCTTTCAGCGTGACAACTGTTGGTGCTTGAAGTTCAGTGAGGAAATCTGGGTTTAAGAACCTGCAGTAAGCCTTCAGAACTGTAGCAAACTACATAATTCAATTCAACAGAAGAAGCACTTTTAAGGATGTTTAGGCTGGTACAGAAAGGACATTCTCTGACTTGTCACTCTCTGCCTTGACAAAGCTAGTAACTTGTTTAAGAAAGAAGTAAGTCCCCAGAGGAAGTAACACTATTGTCATGAGGTTGTCCTGAAGCACCCAGAAACTAAGTACACAGCAGAAAGCTGGTATAACACAAACCAAGGTAGGTTTTACTATTTGTGTTCACTGTGAACACTACAGCAAGCTTGTTTATTCCCAAATATTCATCGTGCTTTACTTACTGACTGCAATGACCAACATTCTTCTTTCAATGTCTTATGCTAAGAAGACAAACAGCTACCAAAATCCCAAATGTTCATTAACCAGAATCAAGAGAGGTTTCTTCACCTTACATAAATGGCATCTCAGAGACTCTGCTTAAAGGCCAACGCAGCATGACCTTAACCCATCTGTCCCAATTAAGCATGAAAGACCAGAGCCTGAAATTCAAGGTAACAGAGAAGACAGCTTTCACTGCCTAAAGAGACAGCACCTCTATGAAGATAAGCAGCTGTTGACCAGCAAGTTGCAAACTTTTATCTAGCTTCTCAAACACAAGCCAGAACAGACAGAGATCACAACAGCCTACAATCCTTACAAACTATCCGCATATCTATCACAGGGTTTTTTGCTCCAAACCCCCAGGTTTCTCTTTTTAAAGACATCACATAGGCATTATTTCCTTTTAAAGTCATACCATTGCACTGCAGGGCGTAAACAAGCAAATTCAATTGCTAGTTCACTGCAAAGATATTTCACATTAACTGGCAAAATGCTCCTCAAGCATCCTAAGTATATTTAGGATGCAAGTCACAAATGTAGGAGTTACCTACGCATTACCAGACAGCACATCAACATCCAGCAAGCACAGTAGGGAAGTCACATTAAACCCACATGAAGGGAACCATTAATACTTTTCAACTAAGTCACTTCCCCACAGCATAATTTACACAATCCTGCATTCAAATATGATAAAAACATTGTAGGAAGCATGCAAGAATGAAAAGCTGACTACTAAAAAGCCCTCCAAATAAATTAAAGTCTAATTGACAGCCAGACTTCACTTTCTAGTTCCAAGTCCATAACTGGGAGAAAGTGATTCCAGCTTCATGGAGACAAGAGGCATTAGGACAAGTTTATTACTTGCCTCCAGGATCTCCTAACCCACTGTCTTTCCAACTTTTATTGCTAGTTAATTTACCCCACAGATCAGTACTGCTCATCAGTAGCAACAGCAACGTGTAACTGGTTTTAATTCCTACCTTCCCATTCATATCTCTGGCAGCATCTTTTGCATCTGCTGGACTCTCAAATGTGACAAAGGCAAATCCTCTGGACTTGTTGGTTTCACGATCCTTCATCAAAAGGACTGCAAAAAGAAAGCCACGTTACCCTTCCCTGTAATTAGGCAGCAACAGCTAACCTTTATTTAACCTTTTAAGCTCAGAACTTCTTAGAGGACATGAAAGCGCTATCACTTCCAGATGATCAACGCCACAAGAGTCATCACAGCTATTTTGTTGCTTTTTATTTCTTAGTATCTTAAAATAGAAAGGTTTTCCTTTGTACCTTCCACGATGCGTCCATATTTGCAGAACACAGCCTCAAGGGCTTTTTCATTTGTCTCTGTGTTCAGGCCCCCAATGAACAGCTTCCCGGGACGATCTGCTTCAACCATTTTGATTCTGGATGTGACCTATTAAGAGCAGAAGTTTATTATTAACAGAACATCAAACTGTAACAGACTTCCAACACCACCTCACGCAACATCGACGACTCCTCAAAAGTACAAGCAAGTTTTCTTGTGCCAGATGCCAGGAATTAAAAGAACAGAAAAAACGTATAATTTTTAGCCTGCAGCAACTAAGGGCAGTACTAACTTCAGTTATTTCTTCACATTCTATCGTCTATTTCAAACAGGTTAACTATAAAAAGTGGAACAAGACATTGATAAGAACTCTTCAGATGAAGTAGCATCAGTGAATATGGGAAGCTTTCAGGGTTACTACTGCCTTGACACCCTCAATAGTAAACCCAAGTACTCCCTCTACGTCCTGCCACAGATGTATTTAACATGTCAAGCAACACCAAAACATTCGCTTTCAAGTCAGCTTGGGCCAATACTCCAAATTAAGTTCATTCTTTAAGCCATTTCAAGCACATCGAGGCTATGCCGAAGTCCTGGCCTACACAACGTGTCAGCCTGAACGAATCCCAGACCATCACTGCAGCTCTACACAATAAGGCCACCACTAAGGCAAGGCGAGGGAGGAAAACGGACAAGGCAAGTGCAGCCCAAGACAAAGCGGAACCCCGGAGCGCCTCGCAAACCCCTGGCGCCCGAGTTCAAACGTGACCCTCACGCCTCCGGCCCCGTGGCGGGAAGCTCGCAGCGGGGGTTCAAGGAGGGCCGGCGCCGATCCCCCGCCGCGCGGCGGG